ATTGTCTCTTACTGACTGGGATATTAGCGTACTGCTTGCATTTATGCTATAAAACATTTTTTTTTTTACTGATTATTGGAGTATGTTTCACAAGAAAATACTATTTCAATTTTTCGAAAATTTCATATTTCTTTGTAATCGTTTGTCATATTTACTAGCAATTTCTGAGTGAAAATATACATTTTCAGCATACATTTATGAAATTTGGCAGACGCTTTTATCCAAAGCAACTTACATTGCATTCAATGTACACAATTGATTAACTCATGTATTTCCTGGGAATCAAACTCTTGACCTTGGCATTGCAAGCGCAACCACCATGCTCCACTACTTGAGCTAATATTTCAACGCTACATTGTTCTCACATGACCTCAATATATATATATATATATATATATATATGCATGTATTCTTTATAAAATATTTTAGCAAAAAATTGCATTTTAGTCTAATTTATGTTAAAATGTCTTAAAACATTTAACAGTGTGATCAAATAATGAGTCAAGAATATATATACTGATATTACTTTCACTTCATTGCTCACAATGGAAAGGTCATGTGGAGAGCATTGCATTATTAGACACAATATTTGGCACAGAGTTTAAGGCCATATTTATAATACAAATTATGTTCTATGCATACATAAAATCTACAGTATACAAACATTATGTGGCATAAATAATAAATGTAGTATGGTAGCAACGCAAAACTGTTTTTTCTCTCTCCCAAACAAGAAAGATGGATATTTCGTACACATAAAGAGTTGTGCAAATTTTATTTTATTATTATTTTATTTTTTGTAATTTAAAGTTCTAAAAAAATAATTATAGAAATGTATTCATAAAAAAAATAACACCTAAAAATAATATAAAATTATATTCAAAATTAAAGTTAAATCAAAAGTCTTTTTTTTTTAATGGCATTTATTCTGTTAGAAATTCTCAAAGGGATTCTTTGCTGACAGACTCATGCTACAGTGGTTCTTTCGGCCTTGGGAAATTATGACAGACAGCTCCCGAATTTGAGGTTGTCCCGAAAGAAAAGTTGCTTCCCGTTTCTGTCCGTTTCGCTGTGCCTCAAAGCGACACTTTCAGCTCTGAGCAGCTTCAAACTGTGATTATTTTGGGTTTTTAGTCTATCGTTTTTATTTTTTAGATGACACAAAACACTGAGGTACACGTGTAGCGATCTGACCCCACGCCAGCGTGTTTACAGACCACTGGTCTCTGATTTGCTGACAGTATGTCAGATAGATGAAGACACAGCTTCTATTCTTAACGGATTCTTACAGCCACAAGGGGAAAAAATGGGGTTTGAGATGCCAACAAAAAACCACAGAGAGAGAGAGAAAGAGACAGATAAAGAGTGAACAGGTTTGGATGGAGTGGTTACTCATACCGACTGTTATTTCCACATATATAATCGAGTGAGATCAGACAGGCTTCATCTAAATCTCCACCTCTTTTATTCATTCTGTCTGTCTCTATTTTCTCACTTTTTCTCTCTCTCTCTCAGCCGCTTGGTTTCTTGCTCTATTTTCTCCCTTCATCTGATTGGCCACAGAGGTGCTTTTCTGCCCTCTGATTGGACGAGAACTCTCTCTCTCCTTCTCGCTCGCCCACTTTCTCTCCTTTTTCCCATAATGCCCATGGTTGGTGAGCAGGAGCTAAGGGTCTGTCCAATCATTGTCTGAGCCATCAATCAAAGCTGACGGGCCCAAGCGACATGAAAAGAAACCTCAGTGGCAGCCATTAACCGAACACTCCCCACCAACCCCCCTCTCTCTCCCTCTCCCTCTCCCTCTCCCTCTCTCTCTCAACCCCCCGTGCTTTGTTTTCCTTTCAGCAGACAAAAATGGACTGACAAGATGGAGGGTTGGACATTAATCAAACCACCCCATGGAACCACCTCTTCCTCCTGATAATAAATAAATTCCACTCTTCTCATTGGGCAGATGTTCACATTTTCACCCCGCTTTTCCTCCTCCTCCTTGCTTGTTCACGCTTGCTCTCTCGGTTTTAAGGATCCTCATCTGCTCTCAGTCAGAGTAATTCCCCACAGATCAGAGCAGGGCAGGTGTTTGCTTCACCCTCGTCCCTCTCCAGGGGCCATGTTGCCCTGACAACTGACCATCCCGAGCCTCTGCACATTCGCGGCTGCCGTATGCGTGTTCTGTTTGGTTTGGACCAATGGTCACCCCCTGCGCTTTAATTGAACATGCACTTCTCAGCGGGAGAACATGCAGAGAAAGGAACAGCCACAAAAACACGTTCTTCCTACATGCATGTCTATGAATGTCAACTGTGCTCAGACCACTGTGTCTGAACGAGGGGATTTCTTGGAGTCTTGCTGGTGGAAAATCATACTCAGCCCAAGAGAATGCATATAAAAACAGCCTTTGTTGATTTGGAAACATGACAGCTGGTCTTTTCCTGTCCTACTGCCATGACAAACAGAACAACAAGATTCCCAAGATGAGTCAAAGACTTCAAATTAAAACCGAACTGAGGGTTATTGAAGAATGTGTCTGTGTTCAAAACAACAAAACACAATGCAACACAACTGTTTGGGTTTGTATTCTTCCAAACAAAACCAAGTATAGCAAAGTGACACAAAACAAAAACAAAACAGCTGTTTGGACTTATGCAATATAAAAGATCAAAACAAAACACAGCATTACAGTTTTATCTTTTTTTACACAAATGCAAGTTCAAACGAAAAAAAAAACAGCTGTTTGGACTTTTATCAGAGATCAAAAGGCTGCGCCGTAGCGCCGTATGAAATATTCGCTTCCTCACAACGTTTACATCCTCATATTAGATAAAAGAAAACATTCTGGGAGAGGCCTCCATCCTGGTGGCAAAATCAAAGCAATTTACGCACACACACAACACGCTGCCAATAACACGAAGACACAATGAGGATGTCTGAACCTGCAGAAACAAAAGAAGCCCATTGATTTGCTGTTAGCAGATCTGATGAGTGGAAATACAGGCAGAGTCTTAAGATGGCTGGATCAGTGAAGATATCGTCTCCAGTGCGACGCTGCCGTTTTCCCGAACCCCAATCTGTTGTATCATTGACACATAAATGGATTAGGGTCATGTATCACTGATAATGGTCTAGCCCAAAGAAGGTGTGTCTGCGGTTCTGGTTGTGTGTGCACAATAAGGCCTATTGATTATGTACCATATGCAGTTCCCACGCCATCCTTTGTGCCATGTGTTCGGTGATGTGTTTTTTTCCCCAGAAAGGGGTGGGTGCGGTGCTACAGCTGGTGAGTGCGGGGTTCATTTACTCACACAGCCGATGGCCTGCAGGAGCCTGTGTGCTTCTGTCTGGAAAGGTAAAAAAAGGTGTGCGTTTTCGTGCAGCCGATTCAATGAGCTTCTACGAACAGAATCTGCAATCAAGACAAAAAAGACGCCACACATTCAAGACAGACAAGTCCTTTTTAATGGATATAATCACAGTGGTTTCGAAATGAGAACTGTACAGCTGCATTTTCTGACTGATAAGGCCACAGTGAGGAGTCCGATACAAGAGGCACGTGTGTATTTCACATTACACACAGAAAATATATTCACATTACACGCCTGAGCACACTTTCAACATGATCATCTAAAATACCACAAGTCTGAACTACATCAATCACGATGTAACCCCCCTACCAAGTGACATCCATGTCATTTTACAGGAGAGCGATGCTTAACCATCTGCCACTGTGTTCACAGTTCACAGCTTGGTTCAAAGTTTTAGCACATGACAAACAGTGTGTGATAACGTCTGGCAGTGATGCTGGAGGTACGTCGAAGCTACAGTTTTCCATCTACTTCTAACTGTGACTCCGGGGTTCGTTTTGCCATTTCAAATCAATAAGAAGTCGCAGTTTTGTGTAATCAACATGATAAAAATCATACACATAGTTTGTCATGTACTCTAGACAAAACCTTTCAAACAGGATCTTAAATGGATAGTTCACTCAAAAATAGGGCTGCACGATTTGTGGGGAAAAAATGTATTGCCTTTTTTTTTTTTTTTAATAAAAAAAAGCTCCAGGTTTGCTGGGCTTGTTTGTTGGGTGGCATAATTTGGCCCAAAATTTAGATAATTATTATTATTATTAAATAAATAAAATAATAAAAATAACTCTTAACATTTTTATATTTCATTGCAAAATATTTATTTATTTTATGCAAATATTAAAATTATATTATACTTTTTTCTTCTTCTTACAATGTTAAAACATCAAGCTTTTATTTTGGCAGAAAACCACAGGGAGCCATTAAAACTTCTCTTTTGTTGACAACAGTCTGTTTATAAGGGCATCCCATTACAAATTCATGACAATGGTTCCCAAATGTATGTCATAAGCAACCCAAAGTACAGCACAAGCAGAGATTTAAAGTGCCCCTATTATGGATTTTTGAAAATTACCTTTCATGCAGTGTGTAACACAGCTCTAAATGAATGAAAACATCCTGCAACGTTTTAAATCTGAAAGTGCACCGTGTATAAAGTTATTGTCTCTCAAAAAAAAGAGTCGACTCTGAATCATTGAAACGAGTCGTTTTTAAAACGAATCCCAAGCCGTTTCATGTTGACGTCAACATGAAACATTAGCATATTGCCCGCCAACTTGTTGCGCGCGCAGACCCGGGAAAATTTGACCATCAGTCGATTTTCGCATAGGTCTGAATGAAAATGCTAATTCATTCTTTGCCACTAGGTGCCGCTTTTGGAGAGGTAAAAATAGCTGTTTCCCCAGTAACTCTGTACACAAAGCAGCACTGCGCTCACAAATGCTGCTTTATCAGGCATTACAGGCATGATGAAATGACAATGAGACCAATCGGACCAATCACCGCAAATTAACATCATGCAAAAGAGGGGTTTGGAAAAATGAATCGTTGAGCAAAACGTTTGGGAGTCGTTGAGCAAATAAGGTAAAAATAAATGCATATTATAAGACATTGATAGTTGTTTTTGACTTTGCATGCATGTCGAGCGGTGGTCCCTGTGTTGCAGCGCTCCAGGAGATCAGCAGTGATAACCTGGAGGAAGAAACACAAAAGATGTTGTGGATAAGCTAAGAAAATGTAGTCAACAACCAATGAATGACAAATTTTTAAAACCGATAATAAAACTGAATAATCAACGATAAATGTTATAATTGATTAGTCAGATATTTCATACGGTTCAAAATGCACTACTACGACCTAAAAATACATTTCATTTCATTTTACTGCTCTTTTAATGCAAGCATTTGCAAAACAATGCACTCTTACAGAAAGCAATTTAATGTTGCTGTCATTGTTAAACTTTCAATATTTAATAGTGATTGTGCAGGCAAGTCATTCAAATATTAGCTAAACAACCAATTGTAGTTTTAAATGAGCCACAACTGAAATCATAAATGCAGGTAATTATATTTTTACAGAAACGATTTTAAATCATGCATAATTCATATATATCCAAATAACGGTACATACTTAGTTGGTTTGATCATTTTAATAATTTTGATTGTTTGCTGCTTTCAACAGACAATGACAAATTAAAAAATTTTAACAAGCAGATTAATCAATTACTAAAATAGTCGTTAATTGCAGCCCCAGAAAAACAAAAAAACATTTTGAATACAGGAACTTTTGTCTAATATGCTGTGTTCATTTATTTATTTAAAAAATATTTTAAACTATTCTTTTTTATAACCATTCCATATTGTATTCTTTATTGTAAAATATTTTGGGAGCCAATGTAAACATCACTTTACTTTTCACATGGTTCGAGTGAGAGCATTGAACATTATGTCTGATTAATCAAAGCAATAACCAGCAGATTAATCGACTATTAAAATAAGTGCAGCCCAACGATGAAACAGTAGCAAAAAACAGCAACTGTGGCTAAAAAAATACAACTTTTTATTTCAAAACAATTAAACACATGAAATTCTATGAAGAACATTTATCAAAAATGTACATTAAATTTCACCAAAATGAGAAAGCTGATTACAGAAGCATCTAAAATGTAACTCTTACTTTTTGTTCGGGAAGCGTTCCATTCCTTTGAGGCATTGTTTGTGTGACCTCATACTGACCACACCCCTGCTGCTCTGAACTTGCACATTCAGCTGCTCTTCCACTAAGCACCCTTGGAGGAGAAATGTGACTGGGTGGCCTGCTTCTCTCAAGCTCCCTTGGAATGCTGGGAGTTGCAGCTTCATGGCTGCCGCACAGCCATCTATCACTCTTCTCAATCAGCTCTTCAAGTGTCTGAGCCAACTTCCCACAAGCTGTAAAAAAAAAAGTATGGTAAGAGGTAACCTGTTGTGTAACATGGCACACCCCAGTAACACTAAATCTTTCTTTGACGTGAAGTTTCCTCATGAACTTGCTGAACTTTTCCTCAAATTGAAATGATCTTGAAACATGAAATGATCTGTGAACGAGTTTTCAGCTGGGTGTAAATCTTTCCCTGCCAATGGAAATGCATTGCTGTAAAATAAAAAACCAAACCCTGAAAGGACACATTTCAGAAGTCCACTGCTTTACCTGTAAGGCTTCTGATTTGTTCTCGGAGGCCGTCCATCTCCCTCTGCATACTCACCACCATGGCGACAAGCTCCGCCCTTGAACGTGATTGGAGGCTTCCGAGCACCTGGAAGAAGATTACGTCATCCACGTCACATTATAAACTGAGTGGACACATTGGTTTAAACTTGTACCAGTAATTTACCAAAAATGCCCATGATCATTTTAAGCATGGAAAACAAGTGTTTGGAGCTGAATGAGTTTAAGTGCAATCACATTTTGGCTCCAAATTCTCAAAAGGCATTGCACAGTAGATGTTTAGAAGCTTAATTTAATTTATGCAGTAAGTTAAATGTTAGATTATTAATAAAGTAGCCCAAAAGTGGAATTTAGTGCCATATTACCTCCATAGTAAAATGTGCATCCCTTGTTGCATCTCCAAGGGGCTTGTCAACCTCAAAAGCCTGTTCGAGAGCAAGCAAAATACATATGAAAGAAAATACAACAAACCAGTGGTTCTGGTTTGGTTTGCAACTTCAAAATGACATTGGCTAGTAATATAAAAAAAATGATCGTTTTGAGGTTCCTCACACTGGCAGAAACCTGAAGATGCATCAAATATCCTGTTACATTATTAGATAGTTCAATATATAATTGAAGTGCCTGGAATCCTTTCCCTCATGATGGGATTCCTGAAGGAACCGAAGGCAGTCTTTTAAGTTCTTGCAGGAACTCTTGGGGCTTCATCATGTAAGCTCCTCGGAGAACTGATTTCCCTTTTTGAAATGGGTTCTTAAAGGTTCTCGAGAGTGTTTTGCCAGTGTGATAATGCCTCCAGTGTCTTCATTTTTACAGTATAGGCTACTGTGATCCTATTAACCCTCACTGAACTAGGCTACAGATATGCAGCAGGTCTGAAATAAATCATTTAAAGCTCCTTAATCACACGGAAGATACAATTTATCTGTCATACATTTTCATTATTTGAATTCATTTTGTTATTCAAATCTTAAAAGCTATAAATGTTAAGAATTGTCACTGGAACAGATGTTTTAATCTATTCAGCAAGGCTTATCAGCTAAAAACAAAACGGATTCCAATATTGATTCAGCAATAAAAAAGGAACAGACCTTTGTTTTGAACTTAACATAGTCAGCATTGCAAGATGAGATGTCCTCTCCATTTGGTTCTCTCCATTTTCTCCTCTTCGCGGGCTCTTGCTGAAAGACAGTCACATAATTAAATCAAGGCACTGCAAAACAATGACACATACGCAACAAAAGCTTGATGTTTACATACACTGAGGACGTGGTTCGCCCTCGCGCCGGTTTCTTCGGGTGTCTCTTCGTATGCCTCGTATCCACTGTACAGGATGCGCTTTGCTATTGTTTTTCTCCTCATCTTTCGCCCATTAGCCGTTTTCCTCGCCCAAAAACCGTCCTGTTCTTTATCATGCCGGTCATGGCCACGCGCAGATCCGTGACAGCCTGATGACTTTCACGCTCGAGGCATTTCGATTAAAGTTAAAGACACTCTGGCGTGTCAACATCACGAGTGCGTCTTGAAACACTTGAAAACGAGTAAAATGTGTGGAAAGGGGACCCTAAAAGTTTTAACAGTGGTGTCTTAAACCTATAACAATTTGAAGAAAAAAGACATCATAAACGGTTCATAATCTAGACATGCTATGTTAGCTAGCGATAACATTATGCCATTTTAATAATGTAAACATCGCATCTGATGTTTATTCTGTACATGAAAGTGAGATTAATTATAGACTAGTTAAATAGCTAGCCATTTGTAACGATCCCTCTCGCTATTACTTTGTATTTTTTACTATTTTATTTAGCAGCCTTGGTTTACTGGCACATCCCACTAAATAAAGCACACTCGAGTCTCCCCTTAACTTTTTAAAACATTTAGAGATATAAATCTCATATTTTTTTGTGTTAACATATGTTCGATAAACTATTATGTAACTATTATATTAACCTGGCATTAAATGTATGTAGCTTTAAAAACATCAAATGTCTTATTCCCTCTGGAAATATGGATTTTGACCTTCTTGACTGTATCTAATATGTTAAAATCATCATAATCATAACTGTCACAGACATCATCATTAAATAAAATCAAAACGGTCATAATCGAATGAAATATACTGAATTAGTTGTGGTACAACACTTTTTAATTATAAACAAGCTATACAACATTACAAAACATTATTAAAATTGTGACAAAAAGTGAGATCTTGTGGACACTTTCGGAGGGAAGGTAAATATTTTATTTTCTGAATTTTTACGCATGTTGGAGAGTTTACTGCATTAGTCAAGCTCAACCGTGGTAGCCAAATTATTGTAAGAAAAATTTAAGCATTTGATACATTTATGGGAATTGTTATTATACAATAGAGTTAAAAAAAAATCTTAATCACAAGCCCTATACATGAAGACATGTTTTTTTTCCTCAAAAAAATATACTGTCTAAAATAAAACCAAAACAATGATATAAAAATCTGAAGCTTTAGACATTATACTGTGGGAGACTCTATAGGGCACATTATACAAGACACTTTCTTTTTCTTTCCCACTTGTTCTTTCTTTTTTTGGCTGCGTGAGCACAGATTCCAGTGAGAGGTCAGGCAAGGTTTGACCCCATGCATTCCCAGGTGACTACAGTGAGCACTAAGTGTATCCAGAAGCACCTGAGGTTGTAAAAGAGAGGCCTCTGCAGGGATGGGAGGAGGCAAGCGGCTCTGTGCTGGAACAAAGTGGATCCTGTAACTCATTAAAGCAGGCTAGGGATCACAAAAGGTCAATCAAATAGTGTTATGTGCACCAGTACCGTCTCTCTTCCGGTTATATGCACTGTGAATACAGGTCACTTTAAATGACACCTAGTTTGGCTCGATCACAAGTCCTCAGACAAGACAGATCATGTCTCACCTGCTAGTAAAATGCTTCTCAAATTAGTTTAATTCTCAGTTATTCTCAGTTTACCTGTATTAAATAAGGTTTAGGTTGAGTTTAACTTCTTTTAAAACCTTTAGTGTAGTAGTGGATGATGACTGACAGGTGAGTAGGCGGTGCTTCACTGCTAGGTGCATTAAATAGTGCTAATATTACAAATGTGGTTTAGTCACATGCATTTAAAATATAGGTTCACAAAGTGTTTGGACCCTGTTTACACCTATTCAGTGCTGTCCACCAATACCAATAAAGTGATGTTTTGACTACTAGCACACAAAGACTAACTGTTAGGAGACACAAATGGCACGGACTAGAATTACTTTGTTACAGACACTAAGAAAGATGCACTTACATGCTGGATGAAAGAGAACTGGCACCTTCTCTTATGACGGTAATTAGACAAGCATGAGAGCTACGATCCTGGTGGCCAGAGTTATTTCAGTTCAGATCGTTTGAGAACTTTGTTTTAACTTACGTGAACAAAATGACTCGCTCAACCCGCTAGATCCACCGTGACGCTTCTGATCTGCAGAGACCAGACATGAAGATCCGTGACTAAAGGACGTCTTACATCACAGCAGATGCTATTACAGTCCAGGCTACAAATGTGACAGCAGAGCCACCATTTCTCGCTCAGACAGAACGATTATTGATCTCCGCCCTGCATATTGCAGCCTCTTGAGAGGCTCTGAACCAGCATAAAGAGGAGTATTGATGATATATTGATATGCATTCTTTTATTTACTTTACCCATAAGGCCTTTCACCTCTCTCCTAACAAATCAATTGCACATTCAACATAAAGCTTCTTTTTTGGGTCACAGGCTGCCATTCCCCATTTAGTCTGAGAGCAGCTTTGAAGTCTGTCTTGTGACTGTCAGATTTGCTTATGCATGAGAATTTGTACTAAAGGATCTGATCTGAAGTCCGTCTAAAATAAAATACTAGAACAATGTTTCCTGCATCGTTATTAAGTGCCAACACTATTTAAACAGTTTTGCACCCTAACCAATTAACATATGACATGCACTGTTAAAAATTGTCCCGTTAAAAAACAGTAAGTAACTGGCAGCACGGTTGCCAGCAAGTTACTGTTAAATTAACAGTACCTTGCTGTTGTTGAAATTTACAGTTTGTTACTGTTTTTGGAAATACAGCATAAAGCTGTTATTTTCTACATTAACAGTAAATTACTGTCAAAAACATTAACGGTTAATTAATGTTTATTTGCACTGTTTTAACTGTAAACTACAAATATGTTATTATATTGAGAAATGGACTGCTAAGAAAAAAAGGTGGAATTATTTTTCTAGATATTTCTTTGATTTTATGAATTACCCCTTAGAAGTCTTGCTATAAAACCATTTTTAAATACAATGTACAAATATAGCCTTTGAAACATAAAAAATTGAACACAATGCAGTGTAAATTCAAAAAGTGCTTTATTAAAACTCAGAAAAACTTGAAAAACAAAAGCCACTTTAATCACAAAATATTCTCAAAATTAGTGGCTGATGCAAGTGAAATTTATATAACATTAGAAAAAACAAAATGAGTGACTCCGAGAACTACTGAGTGAATAAGAATTACTGAATTCTTAGTGAATAAGAATTACTGAATGAAGAAAGAATTCAATGAAGAATGAAGTGAAAATGTAGGTATTCAAAAATGAACACCTGAAAAAATTGTGCGACTAACACACTAAAAGCATGTTTTTGTCGTGTGTGAAGAGTATGTGTAAGGTGTGTGTGGTATGTCAGTGAATGAGTGTGTTCACTTATATGAAGTCCCACTCAAAGTCCATTAGTTTCTTAAGTAGACTGGCAACCCGGGTGTTGACTGATTTCTTTTTGTGGGCGACCTTCCCTGTCCGCTTTGATAGGACTTGTCCACCCTTGGTGCCTTTTTCAGGATTTATACCAATGAAGCGCCTGAAAAACAAATGCGTACATTCAGAATTAGTGTGGGTAAAAGTTTACATAACAAGAATGTGAATAGAAATTAATATATGAATCTAAGCATCTAACCTCTGAATGAATTCCAATGTGGATGCAGCCTCAGCTTGGTACTCCACATTGAAATTGTATAAAGTCAAAAACACAGCAGCAAGTCCAGACAGAAAACTTGGTTGGATGCCCTCACAGATTATTTGCCCCTCAAAACTAATCATCCATTTATGAATGCAGCTTCCTGGTTTTTCACCTAAAACATTCCAAAGAAAAAATGTCAGGCAGTCATATAACATATTCATTTTCTACTGCCAGATTGCAAATAAATGCAAGGGAAACTGAAATAATTTTACCTAGTCACAGAGCCCTGTTCTTTTAACATAACAAATGCATTTCAAAATGCTGATTGTGGACTGGTCTGGACAGACACTGAAGTCAACACGTGTATATACTGTGTATTGTGAAATTGTTGCTGCAATTTTTATGATTTATTTAACTCTATTTTTGCTCAATATAGTTGAAGGGTTAAAAAAAATGAAAATGTAGTAATTAATTAGTCACCCTCACTTTCAAAGAGTTTTCATTTTCAAAACACAAATTAAGCTATTTTTAATATTCTTTCATCATTTCTGTTCATCCATTAAAAGTCCAGTCAAATCCAGGGTAAATGGAAACTCAAACGCGCTAGCCTGACAGACGAGAACAAACCTCATTGGTTCTCACGTCAAGCAAGCATGTTTGAGCTTATTTGCTCTATGTATGCTCAATGATGAATGTTTATACATGAATAAACTAAATGAAATTAATACATTTACAATAACTTTATGAACTAGAATTAACAGTGAGGTATAACCATTTCCTAGTACCTGACCATTGTCACGGAGATCAGCAAAACTTTGAGGATACTGGCGGATGATGTTTCGGCAGACTGTGACACATTGTCCGCGTGTTGGGTTTAGCTCATATTTCCTCATCTCATCTGCCAAAACTCTGACCATTTGTCGCCGTGCTGCTGGTGAAGGTCTCTTGCCATCAGCCACTGCTGAACGAATGTCCATAGGCATTGCAGTCCAAGGAATCTGAAATGTCTCTGGCCATGTTTTTTTTATTTGGGAGGATGGACTGCAGTCTTCGGAGCTGCTAGATTCTTGATTTGAGAGTCCACTTGATGCACTGGAGCAAGGAAGGCAAGCTGACTGCTGGTGTAGGGGAAGGAAGAATTTGTAGGTCCAAAGTGACCATCTCTGTCTCTGAAATAGGAAAAGCAGAGATACATGACATGAGAGATTAACCAAGTAAAAAAAAAAAAAAAAAAACATTGGTCACCTCAAAGGCCTGTAAATAAAACATTAAGTGATTGGAAATATCTGTATTTTGCAGGTCACATGCTAAATTGAGCACAATGTACATTTACTACTATTTACTACGATCAGTATCCATTAGTACAAAGACAACTGGTAAATATGCAGGAAGTCCTGGAAATAATCAAATATACTTGTAAAACAGTGTAAGTTAGAAATATACGTTTCCTGTACTTAGAAGCTTTAAAAGAGTAGTTTACTTTCAGAACAAATATTTACAGAGAATGTACTTACCCCGTTGTCATCCAAGATGTTAATGCCTTTCTTTCTTCGTCGTAAAGAAATTATGAACTCCCATTATTAAGAACTCCCATCTCATTTTCTCCTCCAACTTCAAAATTGTTCTACATCGCTGTTTTACAATTTTTTGTAAAGGGCATTTGACCTTCTTTGCATGTTCACTTTGTAAATACTGGGTCAGTACTTCTGCAGAGATGTAGAACGATTTTGAAGTTGGAGGAGAAAATGAGATGGGTGTTCTTCGACATACCCTAACTGTATTGACCGGGATTACACAAAGTACGCATGTGCATGGCAGAGCTAGACAAGACGAGCATTTGAGGTTAAAAAGTATATACTTTTTTTTTAGAAAATAACCAATCGTTTCGCTACATAAGACCCTTACTCCTCGGCTGGGATCGTTTAGAGCCCTTTGAAGCTGCATTGAAACTGCATTTTAGACTTTCAAACTCGAGGGCACCATTGAAGTCCACTATATGGAGATAATTCCTGAAATGTTTTCCTCAAAAACATAATTTCTTTACTGAAGAAAGAAAGGCATGAACATCTTGGATGACAACAGGGTAAGTACATTATCTGTAAAAAAAAATTCTGGAAGTGAACTACTCATTTAAAAAAAGCCAGTCAGAGCTACTGTTTAACAATTAACTCTATATTGCAAAATAGTAAGATTTAAATCCACATTACCTTTTTATGACATGGTTGCAAATGTCTCAACGTTAATTAAATCAAAAATACAAAAAAAAAATATATATATATATTAATATATAAATTAATTAGCACACTTTAATTTGCACAATTTGCACATCTCTTAACTAATAAAGAACACTGTGGATTTACTGGATTATAATTCCCCTTTTGACCAGAAAACAGAGCATGTAATAAATAAATAAAAATTGTGTTAAAAGATGTTTTAAATATTTTTATATAATAGTAATATATTAATAAAAATCATAAGAATGTAATTTATAGAATATAGAAAAACTTATAAACTATTTATATATATTACAATTAAGACCTTTTATTTTTTATTATTTTAGTAATATAAATTATTGTGGAGGTGCTACTTAAACAACAGTGCATGTAATAAATATTTTTTTAAATAATATTTTATAATAATACTAATATGTTATTTATAATTAGTAATATAATTTAAATAAGACCAATTATTGTGGAGGTGGAATATTCTCAATCACTAAATTAATTATCAATAAACTGAAATCGTTAGAATCAGGAACTAAAATCATTAACTTCCTTATGATTCCCAACCCTAGTGAAATTTGTGTCCTTTGAGCTCATGCATCAAGAACAGACAAGAACTGTCTTCCCTCTTGATCTCTCTTTCTCCATCTTTCCTTCTCTGTACATAATGAAAATAGAAGAGTAAATAAGAGCCATAAAGAAAGAGGCCCTGCTTGGGCACTGAGTGGGATTTAATTGACCATATGGGGGCGTCAGATTTGAACTCTGAGCTTACTCCCATCAACCCTTGGGAGCGCCCTAAAATTATATAATGTTCAGAAAGATGGGCCAGCCACCCAGGCAAAAAAGGATGATACAAATGAGCACACACTTACATTCTATAATAGCTGTATTAAATGCACCTCTTAACATTTGTCTGTAGACTTGCATACAAGACTGAGTTATTTCTCACACTCACCTATCGCTGATGGACAGCTCGTGTTTTGAGCCCGCTCAGCAGTTTGTCACTTGATTAGACTCCCCACCATGGCACTTCTTTCCTCCGTTGCCAGTGTTCTCTCCCCCCTCCGCTCATGCATATAGAGAAGCTTAATTTAAAAGGACAACAGCGCTGCCTTAAGATCCTTTGCAAAGGGACAAAATAAACTGACACAAGAGTACAAAACAATGCAGGCCATTCGGTGTCCAGGGCAGCACTGAATGTGGAGGAGTGCCGGACAGGGGTTTTGTGAGCCTTTGATGGGAAAAACCTGATTTTTGAGGGTTAGATCTCTCTTTTTTGAAGATGAGTAATTTTTGTACATTCGGATGTTTAAATATTTTCTTCTATTACGGTTTAGTGAGCAAAAAATATGACTTTTGAAATTCTTTGTGGTGCAGAGATGATACACTTCACCTTTAAGACGCAAACATTCAAATTCAGCATTCACATCCAATGTCCATTTAAAAACGAATGCAAGGCAAAAAGTATAGTTTATTTATGTTTAATTTCATTATCCAAGATCAGATGTAGTACAAAATCATTTACACATACTTTCACATCTTACCTTGATGGTCGAATGACCTAAAAACACACTTACACAAAACTCTTTGTGAGCACTTAACTACTTACTCGCCCATTTGGTTCCAAACCTGTATGACTTATTTTCTTTCTTTTGTGGAATATAAAAGAGGATATTTTGAAGAATGTTGGCAATGAAACAATTTCAGTCCCCATTGACTTTCATTGTATGGACAAAAAACAAACAATGAAAGTAAATGGGAATCAAAACCATTGGGTTACCAACAATCGTCAAAATATCCTCTTTTATATTTTGAAGAATGTGGGTAACCAAACAGTTTCGGCTCCCATTGACTTCCACTGTATGGACCAAAAAAACAACAACAAAAAAAACAATGGAAATCAATCAGAACCAAAACAGTTTGGTTACCAACATTCCTTTAGAAGAAAGTCAGTCAAACAGGTTTGCAATGGCATGAAGGTGAGCAAATGATGACAGAATTTCAAAATTTTTAGGGTGGACTATCCTTTTAAGCACATAAGCATCAATAAAATAATCTCTATAACTGTTCTTTAACTTTATATTCTCCTTTATTTAGTCTTAGAATGAATCACTTATGTTGTAGCATTCCTCTTTTGTATTTTTCTTTGTCTAAAAGCACCTGCTGCTAAATGAATGAATTTACAGTAAGTAAACTTTCCCACGTGTCAAATGTTGCTTCTCATTAACTACTTACATCTAACTCATTGCATTTGCTTCAAGAAACAAGACCTTTTAGACTTTATACTGCTCATAAATCCGCAGGCAGATCCTATGGCCTATGGTCGTCTGTTAACATGAATCTGAGAGTTTCAAGCCGACATGAAGTTGTGTAACCTGCAAACTTTCTCCCAGAACAGTTCTGTTCAGCGTCAGCCGTTTCTGCCTTTGAGGGATTAGAGTGATGTCATCGGTTAGGTCTCAACCCTTTTCGCTGTCATCCTGGCTCAGGTCACTGTTAAGTCAGAGCGGCGCAGCTTTTGCATGCGCTATAATTCAGACTGTGACTTTGATGATAATAGCACTAATAATGGCCTGACAGTGACAGATGGGTGCAGGCAATTTGGGGGCCCGTGAAGTGACCCTCCGCCCAATCAGAGCACTTCCAGGTTAAATGTGACCCCAGGCAGCCAGCAAAAAGGGAGAAGGGCTGAATGGATGGAGGATAAAAAGAAAGAGTGAGAGAGAGAGAGAGAGAGAGAGAGAGAGAGAGAGATGAGGCACTGAAGTGAGGAACACTCCTCAGGATATTAAGTAATTGCTGCTATACGCCATTTCTTCCCCGTTTGGATGCTTCTGCAAGATTCCAAGAGTAGAAACTATGTCCGCTAACCACAGAGGCAGCCGCATTCGAATCCCTAGAGCTACACCCGAAATTCTGCCGCGTTGCCAAAACCTTTTGGTTTCACAACCCAAGTCTTTGGCCGCAAAAACAGTTCTCTTAATCAGTCCAAACACCTCCCCGGGCAGCAGTGGGAATGCTTGGCCAGGCCATGTGTTAGACATTAAACGCAATCAGTGACGGCGTTTTTTGAGTGCTGGAGAGATTGAGAGGAAGAGAGATCCAGGTTGATAAATAGCAGAGCCACTCAAATGCCCGTCTGTTCATGGGGAGTCTGGGTAATCAAACCAAGGCCTGTTTGCTTTATTTATGCCGCACGTCAAAATTAGAGATTTATCGTTATTGCGAGGCAGCTCTTGATTACTGAGGAGAATGTGGGAAGCTAACCTGGAAAAGCTCCACTGGCGTTTAACGCCTTCTTGTCGGGATGAGCACAAACCGAACAATGAGTGAGACGCATGTTGGTAAAGACGGAGAAGTGTCAAGGATTAAGTGTTCTTTGTAGCGAAAGCAATTCTCTGCGCAGCATTTTCTCATGATTACTGTACGAAAACGATCTCCAACTCTGTTAAAAAACAGCTAACATCTGATTGCCATTCATCATTTAGCGATATCATCTGTAGATGGGAATTGACACCAAATACAACATGAGCTATGGAAATGATTAAGCAAGACCTCCACAGCAAATAGCTCGGATATGCAGTACTATAATTTAAATTTCCTTCGCAAACAACTGTTTCAATATACGCTTGGACAAATCAAATAAACACTTCTGACATACTTATGGTTTCTTGAGACATTTAACCTTTTATCTTTCCCTGCCAGATACATACAGCATGTAAAGAATTAGTGCAAGGTTCTTCCCTCTAGGTCAACACTGTTCCTCGCCGTTCCTGTACTTTTCCATTTATCCTCCTCCATCTCCCTTAATCATACTGCTGGCCCGGCGACTTGAGAGGCGCCAAGTAACACGCAACCTGCCAGATCCAGCAAGGGAAAAATGAATTAAGTCCAGAGGGTAAAGTTGGGACGGAGAGAAGTGTGAGTGGGCCGGGTATTGAGCCCTGGGGCACCCCGAAAGTCATAACTCAGAGCTTAGGTACCGTGACCCGCCTGAGGAGTTACCGTCTGCCAATTGATTTAGTGTCATCTGAGGTCTTGGGCTCTTACGATTATGTGCCTTATTAAGTGATTCTCTGAGCATGACAGCTTTAGGATATTAGGTGGTACTTTCTGTGGCCCTTTTCTAAGTACATGAATCGCCTACTTTAATTAGCTTGAAGGACACTGCATCTCAGTCCTGGACTGATGGTGGTGAAACCTTTCCTATATAATATTGACTATAACTATGGCAGTTGGTATGAAATACTTAAGCGTAATCCCCATTCATTTTGAGGGTTTTGTAACATCACCAGTTTTCTCATTTTGAGGTCGCAACCCTCTGGACGTCGATGCTTCTAAAAAAACGAAACACAAATATTTTAGTACCAAAATATGCTGTAACACCAAGTGAGCATGTTTCCTTTAGAGGGACATTTCCTTTGGAGAGTGTTTGTTTTCTTTCACCTTTGTTTGATGGAAAGGTTATGCAAACATATATAAAAGAATGATTTTTGTTTGATGTGTGTGTATCTGTGCCTGTGTGTGGATGTGTGTGCAAAGAAGCCAAAATTGTGAGTTAAATATTGTCATAGACATTCATTAGCCAAGCGCAACAAGTACAGGGGACTTTTGACCAAAGTTACAACTGCAGGATTATTTTATCAGAAATCACATACACAGAGTTCCCAGAACCCACCAGGAAAAATCTCTTCATCCTCCATGTTGGATAAAATTCCTAAAGTACTAGAGATGCTGTTTACTATGACTCCAGGGCTTCGTGCATTACTGGAAATAGACAAAGAGAAACCAAAAAAGATTAAATAAATATTACACTGTCAGTAATGTCAATACATCCTGAAAACTGTTTCAGGGGTACAATACAATGTGATTTTATTATTTGAATCACAACCGAGAATTAACTCATTTTCAATCAATGGGTTGGAATTTTAATTGCACTGGCCTAACTTTAAGAAATGTTTCTTGAGCAGTAAATCAGCTAAATAGAATTATGAAGGAACATGTGACACTGAAGAATGGCGTAATGGCTGCTGAGAATTCCGCTTTGCATCGCATGCATGCACATTTTAAAAATATATTTAAATAAACAACGGTTATTTAAAATTGTAATAATATTTCAAAATATTACTGTTTTTACTGTACTTTTGATCTAAGAAATGCAGCCTTGGTGAGCATTCAAGACTTCCTTCAAAAACTCAAAAATCTTACTAACCCCCAAACTTTTGAACAATATTGTATACAGATGAACACTTTTTTTATATTTATTACATAAATTAAATTGATCGCTCTGTAAGCCTATAATGCTGTCAAGCTTTCAGACTTTCAGAACTTTAAAACGAGGCTTTGTCAAGCCATCACACAAAGTTTGCCTTCATGGTGTTTCCTTTGTCTTGACAAACTTTTACATTTCTTTTACAATTCAACTATTCAAAACTCAAATTGCAATTCAGCATCCTGTTTGCTCCCTCAACTCAAATTCAAAAATTTAATTGGAATTTAAAAGGCATTCTCACTGAAATTCTGAATGACACACAACCCTGATTTGAATTAAATCAAATGACTGCATTGGGTGACATAGAAGCCTCATTCTGCCTCCACACTACTTTTGAAGGATCAAGAATATAAAACTCCAAACATGAAATGATATTACAGTCAATGTGTTAAAGCTATAATCATTCAACAAAGACAACATTCAAAACAAACTGTGCTGAGAAAATTTCAGCGACATGTTTCTAGGGTCAGGACTCTGAACCTTTAGTCAAGGCTATTTACTTCTGAATCCTTGTGCCAAGGAACTTTGACAACATGGCATTATGTGCAATTTATGTCAGGCTTGGTTTTGTGTGTGTTTATGTGCGAGAGTGTGTGTGAAAAAGAGTGTGACAGAGATTGCATTCATATGTATGACCTTCCTCTTTAGAGGCACCGTCAAAGATCACAGTCAGTGTTGACAGAGATATTTCTCCCATGCATTGCAGCAGTGAGGGCTGTTGTCTAAATGCTTACTCACCAGGCGCCGACTGAACAGGCCGCCAGCAGAGCCAGCCGGTGGCCCTGAATGCCCTTTTGCTGACTAGACTCTAGCAGCCAATAAATGGAGCTGTCACTCCTGTCAATCTTGCTTTCTCTGACACAATCGCCCTATCACGCCCGCTCATTCCATCCTGCCCACCTCAGTTATGTCCCTAAAAGGACAGCTTTCTGTGACAGCCCTGCCTCTTGCATGACGAAACGCAAAGATAGCCAATCATCTCATTCTCCGCCCTGGGTTTGAGAGAGAGAGAGAGAGAGAGAAAGACTTTTTCTTTATGCATTTTTTTAAGAATATGTAGCTTAACAAATCAGCCTCTTAAAATCATGGAGCATTTTTTTATTTTTTTTTAATGTTATCATAAAATCTTTTCCCATAAGATATGAGCATGTGATACCACCTCTAAACTCTCAGAATCCAGTCCATCACATGACATTTCACCATACTTAAAAATGAACATAACAATTTAGAAAGTGACTGAAGAAGAGGCACCGCTCTGTGCCTTCATATATCTCAGATTCTTGAAGTTTCATGGATAACCTGTAACACAAGGCAAGGCAAGGCCAGGAACACACAGTGTACATATGAGGTGGTTTAATCAGAATTATTGAAAAAGGCCTCAGAAACTCTTTTGTGGTCGGTCTGGTCCAACTGCATCTTGATGCTGTATTGCCCTCTGCTGGATGTAAGGTTGATGCACAGACTCACTGTAAAAACAGCCAATAATAATGCAGCACATGTTTTTAATATGTGTGATTTAATATTTGATTTTCCAAATAAATATAGTTTCAAAGCAGCTTTGTTTCTACACGCATATTAGTAATAGAGTAATATATTCATATGGCAGAAATGTACAGTTATGAGATAATACAAATTATGCAGTAAGTTAACATCATGTATTAACTTAAGCAAAAACAACGAACATGTTAAAACAACGATTACATGATGTGATAATGATTATAATATAAGGACAATTTGGAATTAATCCAACTTTTTTAACATTAAGCAATCAATTTATTAAAATCCTGCTCATAAAAAGTATTTTACATGATAGGTATACTTTTTCTTCAAGATCATTTTCATAACAATTTTCGTAACAACAAAAATACTCATTTCAGACATTCTAATGCAGTGTCACGTGATCCTTCAGAAATCATTTTAAGATGACACACACACACACACATATATATATAATAGTAATGCTACCTTCAATGCATCCTTCATTGCACTTCTGAAGCTTTAATAACGAGTATGGCACATTTAAATGCTTTGTGGTTGGAAAGATCAAGAGACTAGCCAGCTTGGTGATAATGATATTTTTGTATATTTTTGGCCTTTTTCAGTAAAATATGCAACAAAAGGTTACAAATACAACTGAAATTGCAACAGCTAACATGGTATTTTGAGAATTCAATAATGACCGACAATACGGAACCTGTAGGCCTAAAGTAAAAGGAAAATTATGCTTCATGTGATAAGATCTAAATTAACTGGTTTATTATTCAGCTAATATGTTACACCAAATAAATATATTTTAATTTTTTTAGGCTATGTCGAATTATTCAACACTTGACCGTTTTTTTAATATGTGTGATTTAATATTTGATTTTCCAAATAAATATAGTTTCAAAGCAGCTTTGTTTCTACACGCATATTAGTAATAGAGTAATATATTCATATGGCAGAAATGTACAGTTATGAGATAATACAAATTATGCAGTAAGTTAACATCATGTATTAACTTAAGCAAAAACAACGAACATGTTAAAACAACGATTACATGATGTGATAATGATTATAATATAAGGACAATTTGGAATTAATCCAACTTTTTTAACATTAAGCAATCAATTTATTAAAATCCTGCTCATAAAAAGTATTTTACATGATAGGTATACTTTTTCTTCAAGATCATTTTCATAACAATTTTCGTAACAACAAAAATACTCATTTCAGACATTCTAATGCAGTGTCACGTGATCCTTCAGAAATCATTTTAAGATGACACACACACACACACACATATATATAATAGTAATGCTACCTTCAATGCATCCTTCATTGCACTTCTGAAGCTTTAATAACGAGTATGGCACATTCAAATGCTTTGTGGTTGGAAAGATCAAGAGACTAGCCAGCTTGGTGATAATGATATTTTTGTATATTTTTGGCCTTTTTCAGTAAAATATGCAACAAAAGGTTACAAATACAACTGAAATTGCAACAGCTAACATGGTATTTTGAGAATTCAATAATGACCGACAATACGGAACCTGTAGGCCTAAAGTAAAAGGAAAATTATGCTTCATGTGATAAGATCTAAATTAACTGGTTTATTATTCAGCTAATATGTTACACCAAATAAATATATTTTAATTTTTTTAGGCTATGTCGAATTATTCAACACTTGACCGTTTTTTATTTTTATTTATTTATTTTTATTTTATTTATTTATTTTTGTAAAACGTTTAAAATAATATTTTTCTCTAGGTGGATATCTAGGCTACTATGGTTGTCATCTACTAGCAAATTGGGCTTTGACATTTGACTTATATAAGTGGAGGCCCTGTGGCTTTCTGCCTGAAAACTTTATCATTTATTTCTCCAAACGACTTTGCCTACACACTTTCCCTTGATTGCTTTCCCGTTGACTGTATGCTCTGTGAAACCTCTCCATTCCCCGGCTCTCCTCATACATTCAGAGCCCTGTCGCCGTGTTTACCCTTCGCGAGGACAAATCGTATTTTCTCCTATCCCGTGCTCCCATCTCGGGCGTTCTGAACGGCACGGAGGTTTATTTGTTTAGGAGAGTGGCATTTATTTTCCGCCGTCTCTGTTTGGGCAGATGGCGGGTCTCGCCGCGCCAAGTGGATCCGGGTGTTTATTTGAAATGGGGCGTGCGGCACGCGAGGGTATAGAGGAGCCCCGCGGACCATGTGTTCCTCTGGGCGCCCTGATTGGGTGACGCAGAGTTGGCAGGCGACCTGACGAGAAACAGGAGACAAACCGCGGGCCGTCTCTCTATGAGCTCAGGCCTTCCATGTGGCCTTGGATCTGCTTGAAGCGCCTGGCTTCATGGATGAATTCATTTCATGAGATCTCGAGATCCAGCCCAACACATTTTTTAATATGATTTTAAGTCCATATGACAGCGCGGTGTAATTTGGTATGATACTTAAGGAAAGGACCATGATAGTTAAATAACACAGGCTTCCAAAATACACCATAGGCCTACTATTCAGCTCTTCCAAGAAACGGATGATTAAAATAGTTAATTTCATACTTTTCTTTCAGCAGTTTGAGTAATAGTTAATATTCTGGAGGAACATGCCAGGATGTCATGAACACTTGATTTATTAATCGCTCGCTAAAGCTTGAAAAATAGGTTTTCATCAGTTATTTTACCTTCATTTTCAAGATTGTAATCTTACTGATTTTGATTTTTCCATGCTTTTTCTTTAGTTCCACTGTGGTAAATAGAGAAATTGTTAAATTGTTCACTGGATTAAAAGTGAAACTGTGTGTACATTTGGTATGCATGAAATACTTGTCTTTTCTAGAATGTGTTGAGTTGATAATCATAAATATAGCAGTTTTAAACAAAAATGTTGGCGGTAAAAACTGTTAACAATTTATTTTTGTGTTGAGGGCCTTCGCTGATTGACAGCACACATTAAATTAGCCACACCCCATAGGTTTAGCCCTGCCCTGCATTTGAGAACGTCATTTTTTAGAGGAACCAATCAGTAAAGGACCAATCCATCAATGTCAGCTCCTTAGCCAATCAGGGAGAGTATGCTAAACAGCTGCCAACCAATCACGCTTAGTTTGTTCACTCCATCTCCTATATATGCAGCAACCCCTTGCTGTGCTGCATGAGTTGACTGAAAATGTGAGCAAGACCAGACTTTAATGATTTGTGCTGCTGTTCTGGTGACTATGGATTTTAACTTCCGTAACTGAAAACAAAGGAATTATTTCAGATGATTGAACTGTGATGTGAGGCTTGTCTTATTTGGCAGAAATGCAGTCACAACCATACATACATAAACATACGAATACACAAGACAGGCAAAATTGTCATTTTTGTGTCACATACACGTCCAATCACCACAGTTCACCATGTCTATAAAGGTTCATTCTGTTAGGACCACTATCGTCAAAGATGATTGACAATTAGCATACAGTTTGGATTGGCGGTATGGTTCTGTTCTGGGCAAGAACTCCCTGCATGGAGGCCATGCAGCCTAGCATGGATGAGAGCAGGGAGAGCAGCGATAACCCCCAGGGTAAACAGAATAGAACTAACATAAATGTATTGCAGATATTGTTAAAGTTCAATAATTTTATGTACACATTTTAGAATTAGTCTGATTCAAAGGAGAATCAGAAGGCTGAATCCCGACAGACAGAGGAGGAGTTGGGGATGGAGGAGGGTAATTAGCTATTGAGCAATGCGAAAACTGCTGATACTACTGCGGGACCTTATATGTGAATGCTTAGACAGGTGTCGTAGTCTCATAGGTAGATGGGGATCAGCTGAAGGTCAGCTGATGTGAGCTTGATTAACGTGACTTGCCAGAACTAACGCTACGCTTGATAACTACCATACAGTCTCTTTCACACAAACTCTCTCTCTTTCTTTTATCCATAACCTATTCCGAACAGACTAGCAGTATAGTTTCCCCACGTCAAGCATGACACCATGCCAATAAGTGAAGTATGAGGAACAGTTCAAAGGTCTCACCATATGCCAACTGGCTCCTTGATGTAAAAAAAAAAAAATCCACATTGCCTCTACTTCCCAGATGCCACTTATGCCCAATTACGGGTGACCATGTGACCAATCAGTGTTTCAGAACTGAACCCCCTCGTAATTCATTGATTTATAGAGTCCGTTGGATGTTTTGATCAATATTATATGCCCTGTTTTAAAGCTCACTTTTAGATGATGCACACCATGATGTGTGTGATTGACTTACTTTAACAGATACTTTTATTTTGAAGATTCTCCAACCATACACATGTACAGTGGAACAGAATGTTGTTTACTGGGACAATCTGTTTATATTAAATAATGTTATATTTTAAATATATTTAACACTACTATAATATAATATAATATAATATAATATAATATTACTACACTACCATTGGAATATTCAGGGTCAGCAAGATTTTTTTATGCTTTTAAAAGAAGTCTCTTATGGTCATGCAGTCACAACCATACATACATAAACATACGAATACACAAGACAGGCAAAATTGTCATTTTTGTGTCACATACACGTCCAATCACCACAGTTCACCATGTCTATAAAGGTTCATTCTGTTAGGACCACTATCGTCAAAGATGATTGACAATTAGCATACAGTTTGGATTGGCGGTATGGTTCTGTTCTGGGCAAGAACTCCCTGCATGGAGGCCATGCAGCCTAGCATGGATGAGAGCAGGGAGAGCAGCGATAACCCCCAGGGTAAACAGAATAGAACTAACATAAATGTATTGCAGATATTGTTAAAGTTCAATAATTTTATGTACACATTTTAGAATTAGTCTGATTCAAAGGAGAATCAGAAGGCTGAATCCCGACAGACAGAGGAGGAGTTGGGGATGGAGGAGGGTAATTAGCTATTGAGCAATGCGAAAACTGCTGATACTACTGCGGGACCTTATATGTGAATGCTTAGACAGGTGTCGTAGTCTCATAGGTAGATGGGGATCAGCTGAAGGTCAGCTGATGTGAGCTTGATTAACGTGACTTGCCAGAACTAACGCTACGCTTGATAACTACCATACAGTCTCTTTCACACAAACTCTCTCTCTTTCTTTTATCCATAACCTATTCCGAACAGACTAGCAGTATAGTTTCCCCACGTCAAGCATGACACCATGCCAATAAGTGAAGTATGAGGAACAGTTCAAAGGTCTCACCATATGCCAACTGGCTCCTTGATGTAAAAAAAAAAAAATCCACATTGCCTCTACTTCCCAGATGCCACTTATGCCCAATTACGGGTGACCATGTGACCAATCAGTGTTTCAGAACTGAACCCCCTCGTAATTCATTGATTTATAGAGTCCGTTGGATGTTTTGATCAATATTATATGCCCTGTTTTAAAGCTCACTTTTAGATGATGCACACCATGATGTGTGTGATTGACTTACTTTAACAGATACTTTTATTTTGAAGATTCTCCAACCATACACATGTACAGTGGAACAGAATGTTGTTTACTGGGACAATCTGTTTATATTAAATAATGTT